CTGAAGAGATCTCATTTAACTTAAAGGGATACCTTAACATTCACTTTAGATGTCCCTTTACATGTATTAAGTAAGCAAAGGATATTGTTTTGTTCGAGAACACCAGCATATCCATTTTCTGTGGCTTGAGGCTGAATATAGTGTTCTTGTGAACAGGCAGTTCACACATTTTACTATACAGTTCATGAGCTCTGTTATTGGGTTAAATTTCCCCACTAAAAACTTGTTAAGACAACGTTGTTGATAATGTAGGCTATAATTAAAAATGCGTGATTTTAAAATTGCACTCAAATTTCGATATAAAAATGACTTCCTGCCCTAATCAGTTTTGCTCAGAAATATAGTAGTGCAGTTGAGATATTACCCAGCACTATTCCAATAACAAGAAACAAATGGCAGTGCAAAATCATCTAAAATGACAAGACCATCTAAATCTGGTGGAGTGAGACTGATTGGTCATTAAGGAGTGCTCGAGTATTGTTTCCAACAGTCACTCCCTCACGGAGAGGTGCTCCATAATGGTGAAAAAGCGGCCCTGCTAAACCACTGACACAGACAGAGCAGCCTGCTGGAGAACAGAGGCAATCCTGGTATTTGTAACTGTCAGCGAGGAGCAGTTGGACACATGACCTTGTGCGTGTCCTTGGTGACTCGACAGCATGTGTACACATAAGCAGCAGGCCAGGGACGATAGCAGCTGCCACCATTTCCTTTGGTTACTCCACTGTTTACCTTCACTTTGTCAAAAACACGACTGAACAAGCACACACACCTGATGGGTGACACTCAATGGTATGGCGAAACATATTGAAGGCCATTTATTTAAAAAAAAAAGTACTAACTCAAAAAACTAACACTGCTAATAATAAATGAAAGCCAGAAGGGCCCAGTTAGCATTATGCAAATGAGTTAGTCACTAGCCTTAATTCACTGTTAGAGACAATATCATGTTTGTGTATCCATCTAGAGCTTCTTTAGTGATGTTAGCAAAATGTTAATGCATTTCGAATAAGCAGCTGCAGAAAAGATGCTTGAAGATCACCTTTTGTTGTCCTCCTAAAGAACAAAGTCACTTTACTATCAATCACAAGCCTGTAAAGGTAGTGAACACACATGACCTAGATTTCCAAATAACCAGGGGAGGAAGGGAAATGCTAACACTACTGCTCCCCTTACTCTCTCATATAAAAGAGAGGAGAACAAGCAAGGCAGACAGAGCTAGCTGTCTCTAGCAGGACTGCAGGGCTATAGATATGACCATTCTGCAATAATAGAACTGTAGATATTGCCCTTTTTAGGGGCATTTCTCCCAATTTTCTCCCTTATTTTAGTTGTGACTAATTCCACTCAATAGCTAGGTCTCCCCCAATTACACAATGCTCCCCCAATTACACATAGTCCTTTCCTACCAGAGCTAGGAGTGTGAAGGCTGGCACATGCTTCCTCCAACTCATGCTGCTAAAGCAATGTCATTGGACAGCTCAACATGCTTGGAGGAGAACACTAACTGCTTGTTAAAAGCTAACAGATGCCATTTCTGGCTAGCATCATGCAGAGTGATGGGGGGGAGGGAGTATCATCTTGTCCACCCAGAGAGAGTGCGACCAATTGTGCTCTCCTCCAGCCACGGATGGCTGTAGCACCAGGGGGGATCAAACTCGCAATCCTCCGATGATGGGGCAAGCGCTTAGACGGCTGTGCCAGTTATATGACATTATGCCAAACAGAGACTTAGCAGTTTGGCTAAACTACTCCTTGAACTGCTTCAAAGTCAATGTGAATTGGAAATCATAATGCATAGTCCTTTCGTACCACAATACCCAGGTGGGTCTCTCTGCTAGCTGACTGTTTCACGGGTGGGGGTGGCAGGAAAGGGAGGTTAAACTTTATATTATTTGTGATATTATTTGTCAATATTATTTTTCCCTGCATGCTGGTGTATGATAATGTAATCAACAATTAAAAGACGGTTTAGAGGTCTATCTGCAGAACAACAAGCATTTTGCCTTTTAAATGGAGTGGTATAATAAATCATGTTTAATATAATGAGGTTCAGTTTTAATTTCAGGTTGATATTATGGGGAATCAGTAAACACTAATCAGAGTGATATAAAAACAATAGAACTTTATGATACTTGAAAACATCTTCCTAGATAGCTAGACATACTGAAAACAGCATTTTGTGTTTGTAATTTATCATGATGATGCCTACCCCTAGAAAAACAGCAATAAAGGGTAATAAAGATAAGGAGAGTGGATACAATCAGTGATTTTAAAAGACTTTCCCACAGGCCTGCTGTTTTTGCCGTTTGGTTTAGGTGAGCCAGCATGCCACCTGATGAGATGCATAAAGTGCATCCTACAGTCCTCAGTGTTTGCGTGCATGACAGAGGAGACCTTACATATACAACACTGCACTCACTTCACCTGCATGAAAAAAGATCATAATGATGCATTAGGTTGCTATGACAACCTGTAGGCTGATGTCGCATGCTTGATATGTTACTGCTGTCAGAGCTTGTTGCTCAAAAGACCACCAACTATGGGGTATATACTGTAATGAAAAAGGTTAGGCTCTCCTTCACAGACCTCCTCTCTGACTCACAAACAACAACTTGTGATCAAGCTGTGCAATGTGCTGTAGGCTGACAACAGGAAGTATGTACTATCACGCAGCGTATGCAAGAGTGCTTGGCCATAGCTGTGGTCAGTGGAGGGGGCTTGTGGCAACACCACAACGACGTTCTGCAACAGCGCAGCAGAGGCCAACTTCCCCTTTCCGCACCTACAATCACGCTTTCTGTACGACCCCTCGAACAAACTGTGACAGACTCTGCAAAGTGATGGCTGGTATTTCCGGCAATGCAAAACCTGTAAAGAGAACTGCTGAAACTTTTCTTTGAAAACTTGCACATTTGAAACTTGCAAGTGGAGTTATTCCACCGTCTTAAAAGGTCATGTTGTGCTAGCTTCTGTCAACTCTAGCCTTGCACTACACTACTGTACTTCCATGTGCTTTTGTGGTAGAATGTGACATAATATTGTAACCTCAGAACCTGAAAGCAGATTTTATGTGAATAAATGATCATAGTCCTGTTAAAATTGTCAGGATACTAGCTTTTTAAAATGTTTTTAATACATTTCTTTTCAAAAACTGCAAAACTGACGAGATACCACCCTGGATGTACAGCTATACCCCACACATTGTATCCCCTTGTTTTGATGTCAGCACTTATCAGAACTTAAACCTTACAAGCATTTAAAATTTATTTTTTTCACTCTATACTTTTAACAACAGCTTGGAAAAGGAAACTGTTCAATCATTTAGACAACATATTTAATATATAATATAATATAATATTTAGACAAACTATCACGCAGCATATGCAAGAGTGCTTGGCCATAGCTGTGGTCAGTGGAGGGGGCTTGTGGCAACACCACAACGACGTTCTGCAACAGCGCAGCAGAGGCCAAACTTCAATTTACTATTGATGTCAAAGAAGATCCTTTGATGAAAATGAAGCTGCTTTGTATTAGTTAACAGCATTTTTATGTCAACATTTTTTGCAGGTCTTCTTTTTTTATTTAATTGAAAAGTAACAGCTGAAAACTTTACTAAGAACATTTGAGAAGGCCTGTTCTCCCTAAGCATTGGACAGGCAGTGTATATCTACTTGCTGATTATCTCTAACCAATGGAGCCTACGTTAACAGTCCAGTACAGTTATGTTAGACCAGGTAGTCGTCATGGAGACCACTTCCAGGAGATTACTAATTGATCTCACTTCTGTTACTTCCCTACTGACATTAAAAAATGGCAATATGTGAAACATACCAAGAAACCTATAGCAATTTCTGCTAAAGCAGCAGGGAGAGAAAAATTATGTCTTGAATTATATTCTCCTTTTTTTCATTCTTCAAAAAGTAGATCTTAAAAGTAGACCTTTATGGGGCTGTATTTGCAACCATTTGCAGGTGAATAAATGTCTCGCCTGTTGGCCTGCTGAAAACCTTTTATTCTTTTAGTCTTTTTAGTTTGCAGAACCATTACGACATACCAAATAAAATGATAGTAAAGAGCTTTGAAAACTCTCGAGCAGCGGTAGCAACAGCATAGTGATAGGTTACCTCACATCTATAACATCACAATTTTTAATCTTTTCAAGGTACAGCAAAGAAATAAGATTAAACATCAAACACCTGAAGGTAGATATCCTCACCCTTTGGCCTTAGTGCCACACAGCACAGAAGCTCTACATTTTGGTTATGAGAACTCTACACTGCCTTCATGGTTACAACTATTCCTTCATGATTCTTCATGTTCTTGTCTTTTCATTTGACACCAAAATAGATAAGGTGAGGAACCTCAAAGCTTTGTCCAAAATAGCTAAACTCAATAATATCAAAATTCTGTTAAAAATTGATAAAGCGAAGAACCTCAAAACTCTGTGCAAAGTGGCAGAACTTAAGAACTTTAAAGTTCTGTCCAAGACAGAGTGGAACAGAGTGGAACCACAAACCTGTCTAAAGTGGCTAAACTCGCTAACCTCAAAGCTCTGGCCAAAACAGATAATGTGAAGAACCTCAAAGCTCTGTTCAATTTGGCAAAACTCGAGAACCTGTAAGTTCTCTACAAAATGAATAAAATGAAGAACTTCAATGCTCTGACCATGGTGAACTCATGAACCTCAAAGTTCTGTCGAAAATGGATAAAATGAATGTCATACCTCTGTCCAAAATCAACAAGCTGAAGAACCCCAAAGTTCTATGCAAACTTTTATGCCAATTTTTATTTTTTTCGAGCATCTCTATCAATTAACCTGATACTCATTCCACAACACAGAAGAATGAAATATGTCTTATCTCTTGCACAAACAGAATTGAAGAAAACAATCAGAATTGGAGAAAGTGAGAAAATAGCACTGGCAAGGTCATCGCAAATTATTTTTTTTTCTTTTTGCAATTAGACTCAGAAAATATGAGCTTAGATGGCAAACTGACCTGCGCTGCCTGTGCTGGGCGGCCTGTGGGGGGCACCGGCGGACACCACGCTTCTGTGGAGGGAGCCCTGCGGAGGGGACAGCATGGAGCCGTCAGTCAGCGAGGCAGCAGCAGCTGGCAGACCCTGACCGCTCAGAGAGCCCCCCGGGTTGTAGGACATGGCGTTGGGGTTCGTCACCGGCACTGCCACATGCATGGAGAAATTCTGCTGGGGCAAAGCTGTGGGCTGCAGGCACATTTGCATACACACACACACACACACACACACACCACACACACACACACACACACAAAGAATTTCAGTGGTTTTGTGTTTGATAGGTTACATAGTGCAAGGTGAAGAAGACAACACCCTGACCACTTGAGTATCATATTATCAAGAACACTAATATCCATTTGGTGACAGTATTCATTTGTTGTAATACAAAATAATACAAAATAATAGTGGCATCATTAACGTTAAGGTGGATTTTATTCATTTCAGTCTTGATCTTGTTTAGCCTAGATACTAGATTCAAAATGGCCATGTGAGTGTGTGTGTGTGCACACATATCTCCAGGCCTCTATCAGGAGTGAAAGACGACTCCTGGGCTTTGGTGCTTTTATCAAACAATGGGGTAAACCAGAAGATGGATAGCACAGTGGAAAAAAAGGTAATCTCAGGAGGACGATCTCAGGATCACCTTGGGCTGTCCAAAAAACCCTGCCTAGTGTGAGAAATACTGTCGGAACACAACTCTCCTTTATGAAGTCTTTTACACTGTGCACAGTACTATACAGTTTTCATCCAGGCACAAAACACATAACACTGTTAGATATACCATATACATGTGTAGACATGCATATACTGGAACAGTATCTTGGAGTTCATGGCAATAGTCAGCACTGCACTTGATGTATTCCACTAAACAAAACAAAAGTACTATAAATAAAAGTGAGATCACAAAGCTAAGATACAGTATATGCTGCTCACAAATCCTTACAAATGATTAGGGCAGCATGCATAAACTAAGCTACTTCGTCTGATGTAACAAAGTGCAGGACAGTATATGTTCAGTGCAGTGCTGATTATCCGTGGTGTCTCTGGGTGGGTGAGTGTGAGCAGTGAAAGTGAGACCACTCCATTCGCAGCACGCTACAGTCAGTGAGCCAGTTAGTGATATCATTAGTGTGTTAATGGCACAAAAGAAGTGGCGCTTTGTTCATGTGCAGGTTGGACAGTGTGGAGGGAGGGGAGGGCTCCTCAGCAAGTCTCTGTCAGAATGTTATGGTCACCACTCGCAATAAGATCACCATTGTATCAGGTCAAAAAGTGCTCCATAAAATGCATGTTTTTAATTTTTTTTAATTCATTTTTTATAGATTTTTTAGGAGGTGTGGTGGGCTGGGGTTCGCTATTTGGAAAACCTTCCTAATAGGAGTACTTTCTTAGGAGTAGATGACTCAAGCTGTTTGGGGTGGCAACTGCAGTCTTTAAAAGGCCCATATTCTACATTTTTCTTTTTTCTTTTCCCCTTGAAGGAGATAATTTTTTGCATTATCATTTGTGTATTATAATTCACCATGATAGTTCATTTTGACATTATCATTCTCCTATATAACGCTATCCCTTAGAATTCAACAGGCTGTTTTAGTACCTGTGCCTTTAAGATTGATTTTATGCAAATGTGCTCTGTTGTGACTGGCTACTCATTTGAAAAGCTGTTTGGGTTAAAACACTCCCTATAACTTCACTGGGAATGGGCAGGGCTAAACTGCTTTAGACAAAACATGTATTGGTTTTTATGACAATGAATTCAAATGGCTCGTTTTCCATATAGGGATCGGTTAGGCAGTGCAGGGAATGGTACATTTTAAAATTTTAAATTTGTGTTTCCATAGTACATCAAACTCTTTAATTAAAAAAGTAAGAAAACCTTCTTTTTTCTTAATATTGACCCTTTAAGGGAACAAAAGGACAAAAGGAATCGCCAAGGGAGATGAACAAATAACCCAGGTATTATCACCTACTAGGACGAGTGAGGGAAAAAGAAAGTGGCTCTAATGAGAGCGAGAGGAAAAAGCAAGAGTGGGAACACTCAAGCTCCCCACAATCTTCTCCCCCTATCACATGACCTGGGTAGAGTGTAGCTCTGAAGGAAAAAAAGATTCAATTTCCAGATCCGCCGGGGTGTAAACTGGGCTTGTGGAAAAGAACACATCAATCACCCCCAGCCACCGGATCTGTCAATAGCAAGCCACTACTCTGAACTGGAGGAATCTTCCCAGGGAAATATTTTTCATGGCAGCATAAATCTGTCTCTAGTTTTACTTCTGCTGTAAATTGCTTTCTTCGCTGCATGAGGCTTTTGGCTGAAATTCTGGTGGTGGTATTTGGTTATCATAACAAAGCCTAATGTTGCAAAATTAGTTTTTCGGCTGAGTCTCCAAAAAGGGCGACACCTATCCAAACAATGTGATCTTATCGGGGTGTGCAAAAAACTGGGTTGCAATAAACAATGAAAAAAAAAGACTGCATGTCCAACTAAAAAAAGAATAAAAAAAGGTTAATGCTTGAAAAAGTCTGTGTTTGCATAAAAAGTGTGGACAGAGGTTGCAGGGTGGGATGATGTTAAAAAAAAAGAAGAAGGTGAACGAAAAAGGGGGGAGGGAGTGTCCTTTCTGCCATAAAGCCAAGCAAGAATGTTGCGTTTACTTACGATTTTATGATTTCGCATCATATTATCAAACTCCTCATTAATTTTTTTATATTTCTCTTCTGTGTGGGGGGTGAGGACATATGAGGCATCGGGGTCCGGGCTATCACAGCCTCTGTGTTCTTTCTTGTTTAGCGCCTGTAGTGAACATCAACAATAGAAACAGGGATCAACACAAAACGGCAGGGGAGGAGGAGGCAGTACTTACAGCAGAGCGCTTGTATATTAAATCACTCTCTTCATTTAGTTTGCTGAAACGGTCGTCCATGAGGGGACTGTGGCCAAAACAGTCATCTGGATCGGGACTGGCACAGTCACTATGGCCTTTGGTTCTTAATTTCTGCAATAAAATCGGAAAATTCAAACATGCTGTACACAGAAACATGCAAACATAATGAGGCTGCAGTGGCTTGTCCAGGTTCCAGCTGCTAGCTTTGTTTAAAATCTCTGCAAAGGCATAATCATTCACTGTTCTGATAAGAGGAGAATAGTTACAATGACAAAAGTCGCTGTCATAAGAAAACTTTGAATCTCTTTATGGGAGATGAAAGAATAAAACATTAACATCTGTTAATGCATCTGTAAATGTTTGCTTTTTTAAATTTGTAGTGGTCATAAAACATTCACACTATGTAAAGGTCAGCTGCTGTTTTCAAAAGATGTTTAAAAATTTAAACCAAAAAAAAAGTTGAGGTTTACCCATGACAACGGCGATTGATACGTTGTAACACTATAACATATACAACAGTGTGCAAAAGTCAGAGACCATCCTTCGTTTATTTAATTTCCAATCAAAACAGCCATTAAGTGCAAGGTATTCATTTTTCAGTGTCAGGAAAAAAGCAGAAAACATATTTAACAAAAAAATTACACAGAAGCCTCAATAGCTAAACAGAGTATGAAATGTTTCAGTATTTACTGTTTCCACCCTTTGCCTTTATTGCAGCCTCTGTTCTTTTCAGGAGACTTGTTTTCAGTTTTTCAAAGAAATCTGCAGGGATATTTTTCCACATGTCCAAAGTACAGTCTTAGAAGTTGGTTGCATTTTCTGCTTCTCGCGATTTAAGTAATCATAAACACATTCAATGATGCTGATGTTTGATTTGCACATTTTAATATTTTTTGTCCATTTCCTTTTCTAAGTAACAGCATCTTGACAGCTACAATTGCTTTCAGACCTGCATTGCTGAGTTGTCTACTCACAGAGGATGGATAGACTGGAACACTTCTGGATTTTTTTTAGATCTGAAGTGAGAGTGGAGCTTGATTTTCTCCTCTCTCTCAAAGATGAAAGCTCTAAGTACTGTTTATCTGATGGTGACAGTTTTGGTGGTCTACCAGGTCTTGCTGTTCCTGTTTTTTCACTTACTTTTCTTTCACTTTCCCCTTCTTTATGCAACTGGATTATCTTATATCTAATCTCCTCAGAAATATCTCCTGAAACATGAATAACATGGACTTACCGATTGATTTCAATATCATTTTTAAAGTAAAAACTGAATAGCCAACAGCATTGTTAGGCTAAGGAAGAGAACATGAGATTAATTAACTCATAGCTACACTATAGATTCAGTTATCTATAGTTACATATGCACTTTAGCATACGGATAATGGGGACAATAGATTCACAGTGAGGGTGTTAAACTTACACTGGTAGCACTCCAAAGGCTAATTTGGTAAATGCTTTTACAGCTAATACTGTGACGCTTGCTCCATGGCTATTGCATTAGCCACTGTGGAAGAAAATTGAATTGTCAGTCCTTATCCTCTGCCTTAAAAACATTCGGCTCAGGAGAAGCCAAATCATGTTTCTCTCTCTCTCTCTCTCTTGCTCTCTCACTCTCTTACTCACTCTCTCACACATTCACATACACTCCCTCTTAGCGTATGTATGTGTGTGTGTATGTGTGTGTTTCAATGCATTTTTCATTATCTTTCAGTTATCATAAGCTACCCAGCTGGAAGTCAGCCTCACGTAAGAAAAGTCCCACAGCGCAGCCGTTTGGAAGCTGCTTTGAGTTTCTTCCAGCACACTTGCCACTCACAAGAGCCAAGCTGTGTAAGAGTAGCGTGCCGAAATAATGGATTACCATATCGGGTCACTAATGCTTATTTGACCATGAAATAGACTGATTTATTCAAGGAGCAACCAGGGGAGGGGGGGGAGAAGCCTGCTTTACTGTGATATACGTAAGCAAAATATTAGCCCTATTTTAAGCTGATAGTACGGATGCTTAGTATAAAAAAAAAAAAAGAAAGTTTGTACATATCCTGTTACAGGGACATTTTTTTCCTTCTCATATGTCTGAAATGCGTGAAAGAGATGGCAGTCCAGCATTTGGCAATCTGAATTTTGTGTCATGGTTTATTACTTGATGGATACAGTTCCCTGTCAAAAGGTTATGGCGGGTTGTCTGAGGAGGTCACAGCAGACTTTTGGATGCTACAGTCACATTTTGCAGAAACTGGAGCAAAGTCTGTATAGAATAAAAAGCCCCAGAGTGCGTGCATGTACACTGCCTGTCAAAATTTGGGGACATCTAGCTTTTCACCTCGTTTTTAACACAGATGAGCCTGTTTTTGTTAGCCAGTTTGCAATAACTTAATATACTGAAGACTAAGCAACTGTGTACAACAGTACTACCTGGTCTTACTGGGCTACACATGATCTTGTAATGAGAATATACACATCTGTGGAGAACTGGTTAAACTTTTGGTGCTGGACTGCAGTGGGTACGCCCTCTCTAAAATCCATTCCCAAATTCCTCTGGTCTGTGCTCTTTTAACAGCTAGAGTATTCAATTATGCAAGCAAATCAAGCTAGCTAGTGAAATGCTATCATTAGCTATATATATATACATATAGTGCTTATATGTGTTCTCCACACATACGACACATGCTTAATGGAGTTTTTGGAGGGAACTTTTCAGCGATGCTAACTTACATCACAGCCATGGGCTAACAACAGGCTTACTGTCCGTCAGACAATGTTGATGAGTGCACAGTTGCCCCTAACTGTGAGTTCTGCCTTCATAAGGCATTGGATTGGTTTCAAAATTTCACACTCAGTTTGTTCCCACCATAATAAGTCTATGTTCCCCACATTTAGCCATAGACTTCTCGTTGTTGTCCCCAGGCATTCCTGTTACAGGATCACGTCTGGCATCCGTAAGACTACAGTTGCTCTTTGAAAACAATGCCAAATCCCATTCATTTTATCCTTGTTGTGATGTAAGCGCTCAGACATTTTAGGTGTTTAAGACAAACGATTATGCTTTTAACAACAGTTTTGGAAAAGAAACTGTAAAATCACAATTTTAGGCCTACTCTCTATAACAAAGAAGACACTTTGATGATAATGAAGCTGAGTATGGTAGAGTTTTATGCTAACAAAATCTTTGCAAGTATTTTTCTTGCTTAACTGAAAAGAAACAAACAAAAACATACAAAGGCAATGTGTCCCCAAACTTTTGACAGGCTGGGTATGCGTGGGTATGTGTGGGTATGGTGCAGCTGTTGTTTTCAGGCAGGTCTGTAGCGGTAGGGTGAGACCCGTGCTCATCTTTATCTAGTCCATCTAACAACGTGTGAAGCCAAGCTGTGCACTCTGGGCCTGCTTTCACTACTTCAGATGCTGTTTCTAAAGCACACTGTGTATTCTTCAAAGCGCTTTTTCCTCTGCACGCTATCATGCTTCAGTTCAGAAGTCAGATACATACGTCATAAAAGCAATTATCCTATTGCTATGACAACTGTATGTCAAGCTAATATTCCACTAGTAGTGTGGCAATGAGTCTCCTTGGTACAATAGAAACCCTCTCTTATTTCACATAGCTTTCCTGTAATGTCATCACAAGCTTTACTAACCATGTAAGTTAAGCTGTTCTTTATGAACCTGCTCTGCCTGCAATATTGTATCTAATGTTCATAGTTCACCACAGCTGCTTTAAGCCTACTAAAATATGAGCTACACTGAAAAAAGGATGCTTTGATTGTATACATCACATAAATGAAACACAGCGAAACAATATTGACTTTCGGTATATTTACTTTTGGCAATAATTGTGTTGATATATTTCATTCCTGTGTAAATGATGTACATATTTAAATCAGATAAATGTAATTTACACTGATCCAGATGCAGTCTGAATATATATGATACATGCAAAAATATAATCATACATAAAAACATCTAAAACACCACATCTCTGATTCTGCAGTGGTGGTTCACTGCTAATGACTTTTGTAGGCCCTCGGCAAAGCCGTACAACTATTTAGGGCGGGTCAGGAGAGAGTGGCTTTCGCTCTCTCTTTCTGAGCGACGCCTTCCTGAGTCATTTCCTGTTTACGGAGGCCTCCGTGCGCTCGCAGGCCTGTGTTTACCCGGGAAACTATGCACTTTCTCCCCAAGAGTGCCACGGATTCCATCAGGACCTGCAAATTAAAGTCCCAACCTGCTCATTATGTGGGCAATGGTGTGGCCGGACCGGAGGAGCAGAGGCGAGATCAGGGCAGGGCCGCCGCCTTCCACACTAAACCCCAGCGGCACGCCCGCCCGCTGGGCCCCGCCAGGCCAGGGAGGGGGCCACCAGTGGCAAAGCATCAGTGCCAGGGCACACAGCATACAGGGCATCATATATACATAGCAAAAAGGTCAGGCATTGTGAATATCCTCTGTGCATGCTGCAAACGGAGGTGTTATGATAGATGCCTTCCTTTTGTGAATCAAATGTTAGGATTGATATTGATTAGGGCTGTCAAACGATTTCTTTCCATAATTCAAGAACATTATTTTCATCATGTGAATGCAGAGTTCACCTGAATTTGAACACATTATTTCCACAGGGTGAACGCAGTTTACAGTTTTCATCACTGACGTCCAGTGAGAGTAACTGTATCTGCACATTCCAACCATATATATATCATACATATCATTTGTACAGCCAATGGTATCAACTTCTCCTCGATTGTAGCCTCTCACTCTCATTCATACAATTGGGAGGCTCTTGAGGGGAACTGTTTTCCACTTTGCTGTTGTTTTATTAGTTTGCTGCTTGTTTAATTATCCATAGTTCTGCAAGAACTGTCTAGCAAAGTCTGATGAATTACTAATAGTGCCAGTGTTGTGCCAAACAGAG